GATTTTCGAACTTGACCTGCGTTTTATGAATATTCATCAGCTCTGTAAATATAAAGCCAAAAAGTAAAACTGCCCTCCACTTATCGTGTTTACAAGGAAAGTGCACGGCGCCGGCATTGCCATCGGCATCGCCATCGGCATCGCCATCGGCGACGACAGACGCAGGTGATGGCAATATGTACAGACACATCTGTGTCTGTACATAAAAACAGTTTTCCACTTATCGTGTTATCGGTAAAAGTGCACGGCGACGACGGCGACGGCGACGACAGACGCAGATGATGGCTATATGTACAGACACATCTGTGTCTGTACATAAAAAGATATATATATATATGGTAAAGGTGTCCTCACCTGAATAGGGTCCACAATGCCCTGGTTTGTCCTGCCCAGACCTTTGCCCTGACTCCAGCCCATCTTTTGTAAAAGTTTATTTCCAATGTTGTCTTGACCTAGACCTGCTTTGGTTGGCTCTTCATATCTGCAAAACAGTACAAATATGAAGGATTAAGCTTAATATCAAATATCTACAATAATGACACAGTAATGAAATATGTGAGGTTATGGTAGAGGGTAAGGTTTATGAGCAAGGTTATAAAGAAGGGATAAACACTTACGCTGTGGCCTGTTGTCTCAGCTGTTGCTGTTTCTTTTTGTTGATAGGTGGATCTGTGCTTCCATATTTCTGTCTTCGTTCTTTAGCTCTGTCCCTGTACTGACCCTGGAAAAGTGACATACAAGGTGATTCAGTGTTAGAGCACTGCAGTTGCCCACACCTTATCCCAAAGTCTTTATTTCTTCATGTTAAAATTCTATTCTGGACAGAAAGTATAACAGCTTCTAAATTTTTTTTTTACATACCTGTGTTTTTGTCAACAAACTGAATTTGATCTAGCATGTTTTAATTACTCTTTAATTACTTCATATGTCAATTCTTGTGTTGTAAAAATTTTAAGAGGAGAAAACTAAAACAACTTACTGCAGATGGCCCAGCCTGTGCTGCTTGTGATGCCTTTAATTTGTCCAGATTTTGCTGAAAATAAAACAAAACCTTCCTCAGAGATATTTTAATTTCATTTTACAGACCAATCATGGAGCTCTTATGAAGAGAGGTCAAGTATTATTACAGTACAGTTAAAGAACAATTTGCATTGGTCTTTTTGCTTTTCAAAAGTACACAACTATAGTTGCTTATAATTTTAAGTATATCGAAAAAAGAAAAATTCTGCCAAGTTCTTCCACATATCTTCCATCTATTTCCAAAGAAGGCCTTTCCTCATAAAAGGAGTCTCTAGACAAGAACAGGTCAGTTTAGTAATCATCCCAGCGCTCCCACCTGCTCAAACAGTCCTTAAGTAAAGGCATTTTATGAATCTTCACAACATGAAACTCTCTTTCAATGGGACTTTATTCTGTGCCTCACCTTATGGAGATCTGACAGCTGTTGATGCCTCTGTAAAGCCTCCTTTGAAGGGAACTGTCTTTTGCACAACAAACAGGCCATCTTGGTCCAGTCGGTCATCTTCTCCTCTACCATCCCTGGTGACATCTGCTGGGTGTCGTCTTCGTCCTCCTCGTCGCTGTCTCCGCCGTAAGACGCCACCAGAGCTCCAGATGGCTGACCTTGACCTGGAGCTTGTTTTCCCCCACCAGGCTAGAATATATAAAGTTTCACTGATTATAATAAAACTGAGGGGCAGTTGAATATCCCCTCCCTCTTCCTTTCTACAAGAGCATAAATATTAATTGACTATTTATAAGAAGCATTGGGCAACTAAAGGAGTTTGCAGCATCTGTTTATCAGATACTTATGAAAGGTCAAACCTCTAACAAGTCATAGTTGTACAAAATGGCAGTATGTACTTTCATTCAGTTTGAATGTTCTTACACCAAATGTAACTCCTAACAACCTGTAAAGCTTAACCTTAGTTTAAACAAAGAATGATGTACAGAAGAGTTTCTCTTAACACCTTTTTTATACAAGATATAGTAGAAGTATGACAGTAGGTGACCTACCAGAGGTGGTGGAGGCATAAGTGACTGGTCTACTGGCTTCTCGCCCTGAAAAGTAAAGTCAAATATTCTTATGTTTGAAAGTGATAAATTTGGGGATCTCCATAGGTTACAGACATCATAAGTATAATGCCTTATCAATACAAACCAACATTTAGAACAAAGATCAAGAACATGAGAAATTTCTCAAAGTATTTTGATGTCAAACAATTCCAAATATTTTGCACTGTTTCCTCATGACATTGTGTTTTTTTAAAGTACATTAACTCTTGTTTAATGGTAGCACAAGAGTAAACTAATAATGATTAAAGTTCACGATGACCAGAGATGCAGAAGATGTCCATATATCCAGACAGATATAATGTCTGTTTATAAAAATTTTAAAACAAACAATTTTAATTTAATTTTTGAAACTGAAATCTTCCCCTACCATGCCCTTCTCCAGTACAGCAAACCCTGCGTCAGCGCTGGCAGACTCTCTCTCAGGCCCTCCTCCCAGTGACTGCATGCTCTTCTTAAACCCATCCTTCATAGCATCCTTCTGAGCATTCAGGGTCTTGGCCCATTTCTCCATGTCCTAGTTAAGAAAATATATTTATCTTTTCAAGTTGTCAGTTATGTAGTTATTTAATGATTTTAGCAAGTACATTAAGTTTTATAAATTAATATCTTAAAGCAGCTCTTGATATTGTATCTTAGAGGGCATTACAAAGTCTCTGACATTTTTTTTATAATTAAACCAACTGTTAGTTTTCTAAGCTTAACTACTTAAATTGAACTATTAGTTACAAAGTGAATATAATTTATTCAATGCATTAAAAACTTTGCCTTCATACTAGATTTGCACTTCACCTCAAGAAAAATACTTAAGATTTTTTTGTCAATCTTGGTAAAGAAGACCACAAACATCAATCAAATTGCAATTTTCGTACATATATCCACATAAATAAAATTGCTGGTAAGCATACATTAACTGCATTTTATCAACATGTTCACACAAGTTAAACATGGATCCTGACCACCATCAGAACCATATGCGGCACACAAACCTTGGCTATCTTCTTGGCAATCTTGACCTTCTCTTTCTTGTCCTTCTCCTTCTTGGTCTTGTCATCTTTCTGTTCGCCCTGGTTCTCGGCTGTGGGGGCAGCCAAGTAGGTTGACCTCTCGCTGTCCCAGTATAAAAACTTGGCAGTGGAGGCGTTGTAGTAGTACTAAAATATAACAAGTATTTCAAAATATATCTATTCAACCCATTTTTATAAAACAATGGCTATTAAACTCACACACCAAAATATATTAGTTCCAACATTCTAATTTTTCATGTAGAGTATCTTGTGTGACTTCACACCACATTTATAGTGCAGTCCTGTCCATAACTTATTGCAGTTAATGGCATGAAGACTGACTTTCCACTACTTTAATAAGCAACTTCATATCCATACTTATCAAAATAGAACAGACATAGGCCAGAACTCACTAGCCAGATATATCACTATCCAGATATATGACAATAGATGGCACTGCCAATGAAGACAAGCCTGCACTCACTTTTCACAACTATCTTAGATTTGCTTCTCATCCACACCTACCTGTGAGTTAGCATCATAGTACAGGCCTGTCTGTGGATCATAATAATATCCAGACGCCTCATCATATGTATAGGTTGAGACATCTGGTACAGCTGCAGAGAGAATAGCATTTGTTACAGTAAGGTTTTGCCATAATAATGTACTCTGATTGAAGTATCCTTTTAAGTTTTGATTTGTTTTAATATTCTTTTGTCATCCCTTAGTGGTTTTCATCTAGCTGACCTGTAAAAATGTCCTTTATTCCAATATCCAAAATTATCTATTTCCTTTTTCTAAAATTTTGAAATAAATCCACAAGTTAAAGTGAAATCCTGCTTAGTAATTCCATACTTACGATATGTGGTGTATTCTCCAGAGGCATTGGGCTCTCCTGGCTGTGGTGCAGGCTCAGCGCCATCTGTCTGTGTGGTGGACCACTGCTGGGCCTGGTGGGCTAGCCTGGAGACAAGGAAGATACAGTTTTTGTTTGTATACTGGATTACTCAGTGGATAACTTTCACTACATTAATGAAAATCTGGTTCAATTTATAATATACCTTTCATTTTAAAGGAACCACTGAAGAATATATCTTTAATTTCAAAAGAACTAGATTTCATTCCTACATACAGTATGTGCTTTAAAAATACACACCTTTGATTAAACCCTTCATCTTTTTCAAGCTTTTTTTAAATCTAAAATTAAATCTACTTGAAGGTTTTACCACATTAAGCATGAATAAAGAATATGCTTAAGTAAACTTCAGATAAATCAAGGTAATGGAAAAATGTTTTTCAATAAATCAAGCAACATTCAGAAGCACAAGAATTTGTCGTCAAGTTCTCAACTTGGTTAGAGAGCAAATAAGTATGGAATGTTCAGATATATCCCCAAAAACACTTCATTCTCACCTCTGCTCCGGTGACATATCTGCTAGCTTTTGTTGATGCTGTATTTGTTCTATCACTTGTTTCTGGTACTGTTCCTGTTGTTTCTGGAAATGTTTCACAGCCTGGGCCTGCTGTATGGCTGCCTGGGCCACCGCTGCCGCTGCATTGGTGGAGTCAGCTGAAAGAAAAATGACAAGGTGTAAAAGAATTATGGACAAATAAAATAGCAACTTTTTCTCAATGTCCAGAAAAATGCAGTAATATGATTACACTCTAAAACTGACTGTACCCTGCATGGATTTTGCAGTGCTAGTAGTAACCATAATGTTACTCTAATTTAGAGGTCTTAACTGTAAGTATACAACTGTTCCTGTATATGCACCAATGACCAGCACTCCTAAGGTAGATACTGATTAAAATCCCATGCACACTTATATCTTCTCAACTAGATGTCTTATACTGTGAAAATGCCGCTCAAATCTATGAATCAGCCACCTGATCCAGGCACTTTGGTGATGGGTCAACACATCATGCCTCAAAGCTTAATTAAACCCTTTCCAAACAATATCCTTTCACATTTTTACCATAAATGTCTCATGACCACACATAACCAATTGCCATACTGTATATTCCTAGTGCAGTAACTTACTTTGTGTGGGTGGGGCAGCTGCCTGCACATACTGGCCCTGGCTATATTCATAGTACTGTCCATTCTGGTCATAGTATCCTGTCTGCTGGGCCTCCTGGCCCTGGTAGTATGTGCTGTCATAGTACTGGGAGTAATCATATGTGCTGTTCTGTTGGAGGGTGGCCAACCTGGATGTAAATATATAACTGGTAGATAATTGTTTTGCTTTTATCAGAACCCTTGGTGGTGTCATTCTTTACAATAGCATTTCATACCATGCTTGTTTTTACTAAACTGGCCTAGAAAACAGGATTGTGTTCTACTTACAAGCATCTATTTACTTTTTCAGCAATTTAACTGGTGCAGTGAAGAGCTCTATTTCATCTTGTTGGTTATTTCCTTACCATTTCTTCATCACATTTACATGACATAAAGCATGCAGCAAGAACTTCTTTATGCTAACAAATCCTATACTTACACTGTGGTGAAAGTATTTTTGGAGTAAGACATAAGGACTTGTTTTCCATCTATTTCCAGGGGTGGGTTAAGTCTCCCCAGGGACTCCAGTAACTGGCTGGCCTCTGCTGCCAAATTCATCTCTATAAATGCGTAACCTTGTGAAGTATTGGTCAAGCTATCCCGCATCACGCGGCAGTTCTTCACAGTCAGGGCCGTCACCTTAACCAGGGCAGCCATGATGCTTTCCTCAGTTGTCAAGGCATCCAGACCACGGAAAATTAAAGCTGGGGGAGAAAAATAAATAAATAAATAAATAATTTATTGATCATAGTTCTTGAAGAGGACACTGGGTCAAATTCTACAGAATGCCACAGAGATAAAAACTCAGAAATATCTTTAGTTATATAATACAGCAATATAGCCACACAAACACTCACTGTTACAAGGATTTGTGCCCACTTGATCAAAGCCATCTCCTTCTTTACCAGACTTCTCCGACTCTGAAAATAATGTTCATCGGTTGAAAATTGAAGTCACTGATTTAACAATATCTATTAAAAACAATTTTCTTTTGTACCTACTACAGATATAGTGTATGACAAAATAAGTGTTATTAGTGTAATGGTAATATTTAGTGTGTGGTTTACCTTCTCTGGAGATACTGCACTTGAAACAGTAGTCCCTCCTTTTAAAATTGTGTACTCCACACTGAAACAGCAAGGTAAACCAATTAATAATGATTAAATGTCATTATGGTAATAACTTTGAGCAACTAATACCTCCCCCCAACACATTATTTCTGCCATGTTAAAGTACAATGTTGTCAGTGTCTAAAAAAAAAATTGTTTATTTTCATTCCTTAAACAGCATCCAACCTTAGAGCAAATCCAGTCTGTTTTATGATCACCATTCCTATCCATGGGTCCCATTCCTCCGCCACTGGGGCCTCCGTCTCTGCCGCTGCCCCCTCCCATCCCAGGGGTCTTAGGCTGACTATAGTGCATGCTAACCGCATACTGGTTCAACATATATAACTGGCCCTGGAAGAATGAACAATTGGCAGTTAGCACCACAGTGTATGATGATGATAAAAAATCCACCCATGTAAATCCAAACCACATCGGGTATAGTCATCATCCACATCACTAAGCCTAATATATTTTATTAGAGTTTGTTTTTCTTTCACAGTGGCTTCTGTTGGAAGTGTCTTGCCATTATCTTTTTGCTCGAGGATGGTACTTTATCCCTGAAACAAAAACCTGGTTGCCATAGGTTCCTTTTTCGTTTGTTTTGTGAAATCTGAGACAAGAGTGCACCTTGCCATCAGCTGCCAATGAAATGAATTTCTGCCCGTCTTGGTCTCTCATGATGCTTTTTGCTGAAATATGTACATTTTTTACCTCTATCTTTAATATAGAATTTTTTCAGCTAAATGTGCCCTTCTATTTTATCTAGATCAGCTATTTGTGGTGAAATCAAACATCACAATCTTTCATGCTTTTCCAACTCATCAAAGGTGCTTTCAACACATTTCAGCTTCATACCAGGTCTATCAACACTTTATATGCTACTTTTACAAGTTCAGCAAAGTTTGCATTCAGCACATTATTTTCTTCATGTATTAAATACTTGACCAAGTAAATGTCGCCTTTTTCATAAAAATTCAGATTCACAACAAGGAAACTTTACATGACATAAAACATCCGTTACTTGCAATGACAAGAAAAATTATAGCTTGTTCCTTTTTTCTTCCAAATACTTGTAAGCTGAATGCTACATTTGCTGCACAAGCAACTCTAAACCCCCACCCTCCCCTGTTTGTTTTTGTTTCCCTTCACTGTTCAGTTTGTATTAATTCTGTGTAAATGTTTTGATACAAGATTTCACTTTTTTGCTTGTTCTCAGCTGATTTTTTATCCTTCAAATGTTTTACAAAACAAGCATTTATATATCTAATAGGCAGCTGGAAGTTATCTGCATAATATCTTTCTCAACATTTTCATATTTTCATATAATTATCAGTGAGAATACAATAATAAAACAATCAATGATAAAATAAGCAGGATACACTGGTACCCACAACCTAGCATTCAATGTAAAACTGTAGCACCCCAAGTTACCAGGTACAACAGTTGGGACAAAACAGAAAACCTCAGTTGCTCCTTGAGCAGCAAAACTATGAAAACGACAACCCTCTTACTATTATTACACAACTATGCTGCTTCTGACCAAACTTGTTGTTGCTGTTGTTGTTGTATTCTTAACACATTTGTTACCCATGGTGTAGCAAGGATGTGTGCAGAAGTTTTAAACCTGATTGTGTTCCATCCAGCGCTGTGCGTCGGTCGTATTCTGAAACTCCACGAAAGCAAACCCCCTGGAGGCACCTGCGTACAATACAATGACATGGTGGTGTTAGTTCAGTACATGACTGAAGCTTACTTTAAAGGAAAGGCTGTGGAACAGATTCATTTGTGGGACTGAGCATTGCTCTTCAAATGGGGATTGCAAGGGAGAACACAGAGGCACTCAGGGAAGTGGACGAAATCCTTACAGGCCATTCACTCATAGTTCACTGGGCTTTATGTTGTTCATGACAGAATACCTACCTGAGGCAAGCTCCAATTTCTCAAACAAAAATCTAAAGCCATCAATGACATCTTCTCCTTAATAAGATCCGTAAATTAATTTTTTCTTTTAAATATCAAAAGTGTCTCTGTTGTGCTTTACAAACATTAAATTATTTTTTTTAAAAATTCATCGATGAAACATTTACAATCATAAACATACATAACAAGAAGCTGTCACTACAATGTTTTCAATGTCACTATACACTACTGAGCAAGAAAACTTACAGATTATTCTACCAGTCAACTACTTAAACATTTACATTCTTATCGCGTTACAAAACAAGCCCAGGACCATGTGGGAATGTACAATTTTCTGGGTTCTGTGCCTCTGTGTTGACGGTGTCTGTGTGAGAATACTGGATACATGGTCAAGCCCCCTTCATTCTATATCTCACCTGTATCTTTCTTCTTCATTAGCCGCACCTCTTTTATAGGTACACCAAACATCATGAGCTCTGCACGAATCTGAAATGCACAGCAAAAAATACATTTTCTAAGCATTAACTTTATTTTGCATATAGAACAATAAATAACAGTCTACAAAACCAATAAAATTTAGAACCATGTGATAACATTTTTTTTCTACATTAGACTTTTTCTCAATTCAATTTGAAAACAAAATTTCGGCAAAATAAATATGGTTTGCTGTACATGTCGAAAGGGTAAAGATAATAAGAAAGTAGACATTTTTTGAAAAGAAATCCTGAAAATAATTTTGTCATGGGATCGTGGCTCTATATGGGTGGTCTGCCCTCTGGGTACAAATACAACACCCAAATATCCAAATATATCTGAAAAAAGTTACATCTTTTGACAAGGTATATAACTTACATCTTTTTCATCTATCTTCTGAGGTAATCCTCTCAACATGATGGTGTTCGTGGGGTTGTCAGTCAACCACTTCTCCCCCTCCCTGTTGTGACCACGCCCATCACGCCCATAGTGATCTCCCCTGTCATAGCCACGCCCCTCTCTCCTGTCTCTGCCCATACTGTTGTTCACGTCTTGCCGACCACCATCGTAGTTGTAACCATCATCATCATACTGAGATTAGGGGATAAAATAATATCACTGTAAGTCTCACTGCCACGTGTGTACTAGTATTAACATGCATGTGCTTTCTTATCAAACTTCTGACAGATGCGTATGATAAACATAAATATCATTTGGAGTGCTTATTCTTCCACTATGTGCTATCATCATTACATGAAATAAGAAATTGGCAAACATGCCCATAATATAGGCAAAAGTAAAGTCAAGCATCTTAAGAGTAAATCTTTATTGTGAATAAAACATTCAAGACAAAATGAACACTTAAATTCATGAAATCATGAGTTACTAGTTAAAAGTTGATGTACTGAAGAACAGAAAAACCCTTGCAATGTGATTTCATACAACATGCGACAGAAAAGGCCTTTTTGCCAAACATTAGAAGATTGAAAAGATTGAAAACTTTATGACCCGAGGACCTGCTTGGCTTCACCCCAAGTAAAAATACATACCAGTTTTTACACAGTCTTCATAATACACCTTCCCTTTTCTCCGCACACACTCACCTCTTCATAGTTGCCATAATCATAACTGTTATCAAAATTTCCTTCTCCCCCTCTACTCCTCTCCATGCTACGATCTCGGTTCCTGTCCCTATCCCTGTCCCGGTTTCTCCTTCTGTCCCTGTCACGATCTCTGTCCCGGTCCCGACGTCTGTCTCTGAATAATCCATGAAACACAATTTATAATACAAACTATACTGTAACTCATTTCACTTATATTACAGCTTCAATTCACAATTCTAAAAAGCAATTATTCTGTTACATTGTTATCAACACAATGTCATATAAAACCATAAATTATCCACACAATCTTATAAAAAACCATAAGTTCTCAAAATTTTGGGGTGTTCAGAGAGGGTGGCACAAATACCATTTATCTATGTAAATGGTCTAGTCCAAAGGCTCCAACATTGGCGTTACTACGAAACATTATTAGAACACTGCAACTATAATGGCTGAAGAAAGGGCTTCAACATGGGCTTCATTGCAAATGCCAAGAGGAATGTAATGCAGGCTCACAGAATCACTCTAGTTACCTGTCCCTGTCTCTTGTTCTGTTTTGATAATGCCTGTCATGATCCTCTTCTACCTGGTTTCCAAAACCTCTGTCATCAAAAGAATCATGATGCATTTCTCCCTGGCCAAAGTCATCACGATGTGGTATATTCCCCAGCATCTCCCGCTGACCCATTTTTCCTTGCATATCTCTTTCAAGCTGCCGCATATCAGCTGGAATATTAGGCTGTCCAAAGTTTCCTGGCATTTCTCTTTGACCACCAAAGTTTGCGGCAATTTCGTGCTGAGGAGGAAAGGCTCTTTGAAAGTCATGCTGAGGGAAATTCCCTGGGATTTCAGGCTGCCCAAAATGTCCAGCTATTGGTATTGGCATGAGTCCTGGCTGCCTGACTCCTATGAATCCTCCCTGTCCTGGCCTTGCTACTACAAATCCTGCCCCTCTCAGGGGAGGCCTTGGAAATAATGACTGTTGTTTTTGCTGAGCTAAGAACTGTGATATTTGTGAATCCATCTTTGTTATCTGCAGAAAGAAATGATAATTATTTTTAAATACCGAATGAAAAAAATTACAAAGATATTTAATAAAATGCCTCGTGTTTTGCATCATGTCTCAAAACTAGAGCTTACTTCTCATTAAATTAAATTCCCAATCTCAAATCACGATAAGAAGTGAAAACTTAGTATGTAGAGCCTAAGCCACTCTGTGTTGAAAGCATTGTAATATTTTAAAGAGACAAAGCGAACAGACATTTGCAACTAAATCGACAATGCACTCATTTCAATACGACAAAATACTCAATAAAACATGAACGTATTCTCGCAGAAATTCAGTCAATTAATATCTTTGACTTCACATTTTACAGAAACATATGATCACGAAAAATGAAAGTCCACATTTAAGATTATTGAGAAGAAATTACGAGGGAACAAATTTTACCTTGCGACGCCAAGATGGCGATGACCACAAAATACCCACAATTCTCTGTTTCTCCGATTAGTTCCCAGCACTCGCCCCTACAAAATTAATTCTTAATCAAGATATGTTACTGAAATAAGTTATGTAAGAACAATAAAAACATATGTGAAGATGTATACAACAGCATAATGCATATGAAATATACAGTTGATTTCTCCTAACATCTATTCATGTATTTTTCCTTTTAGCTTTTCTAATATTAGACAGAGAACAAGTCAATTTGCGAGCCGAATGTCCTTTCCAATCTCCATTCAGAAGCCAGTAGGTGAGAGTAAGAAGTGTGGAATTTTGTAATCTGCACGTAGGGAAAAAAGAATAATTTTCTGATTATGTGATTATTTGGAAAACGTCCTATTCTAGCTGTCGTTTTGATAGGGTAAACAAATACATTATCATACAAAGTACCGTGAGAGTTAAGATAAACATTTTAGAGCTCCTGCACCGCTGATGGTTCAGAAACTGGTATTTAAATCGGTCCTACGAAAATACGAAAACCGCGAAAACCGCGAAAACCAGAAGTTGCTAGGCGAAAACCACACTATAACTTACCAATTCTCGATGTTCTNATTTAAATTGACACTTTTAATTTTGAAGCCTTTGGCTTTGCTTTCATGCGTTAGCACAGCACAGATATCAAAATCGTCAATAGGAAATTCGAATGCTAATGCATGGATTATATTATATTATATTATATTATATTATATTATATTATATTATATTATATTATATTATAGTCCAGCAGGGAACCTTTATTTCATTAAATTAATTTTCTCACAATATATATTGTATTGTATTGTATTGTATTGTATTGTATTGTATTGTATTGTATTGTATTATATTATATTATATTATATTGTGAGAAAATGTAATGAAATATATGATTCCTGTTAGACTAAATTGTAATACTAGTATATGTTTTATTATTTTGATTTTCTTTGAACTTAAAGATATAACCATTTGGAGAGACAATGCCTTGTCCTGAAGGGAAAACATCCACTGCATTTCAACTTCCAGACAGAAATAAATATTATAGGATGGATTTGGATATCAAACTACACTTGAGAAAACATGTACAAGTATATTCGTATGCAAAGTTCCAGAACATGTTTCATACATACAAAAACTGCATGGGACATTTTAATAGAACTCCAGTTAACCTGATAAATGGCACAAGTGAATACATCAGATGGAATCCAGCACAGTTATTCAAGAAAATAAGATTCCAACATGTTGCAAGAAATTTGAACTTTTTTCCTGTTGCATATGCCCAAGGTAAAAATGATGTTAAAACGACTGAAACAAATACCAGTACCTCAGCAGTGAACTCCACAGAGACTGTTTCCAAGGCTACCTCATCTGGTGTTGTCAGTCAGGATGTTGCTACAGAAACCAAGCCTGATAGCAAGTATGCAGTGCGTGAAGAAGATGTTGATGCATATATGGCACAGGAAACTGGGTGGGACAGAGTTAAATTTTACTATACTGAAAAGTAAGTATATTGAAACAGAAAGTACATGTATGCTTGTACTTGAGGGTCAACTTGGTATCACCTGGTGCTATTAATAATATAAAGCAAAATATAATATATTGAAATCATAAAGATTGATATGTTGCATGTAAGTCAGTTTATCAAAAGAAAATTGATGCAATGTATTAAACAATATAAAGGAAATAAAATTGTCTTGCTTTATAGGGAAGTCATAAGCGAGGACAATCCCATGACAATGCATCTGGCAAAAAATGCATTGGTCGCTTTTATTTTTGGATTAGTAGTTGGTGCAACTAAAAGCAGCAAAGAGGCAGCGGAAAAATTTATTAAAAAGCACCAGACATATAAATTCCAAAGTAATTTTGCTGCACAGGTAAGTACAAATATTGAATGGGATAAGAGCTAATTGATATAGGATTGACCAAGGTAATCAATGATAGTGAAGTCCATTTTATCAAGATATACGGTAATGTGCCATGAATTTCGAACAGTAGAAAATAATTAAATTTGGGAAAAGATCGTTCTGGCCGAAATTCATGAAATGGAGGTGCTCAGAACTTCCGAAAGTTCGAATTTCATGGAATTCTGTCAATTTTGACCGGAAGTTGTCTGTTCGTCGCTAGGCCTTCTGTTATCTTCTCCCGACGATCTATTTAGAGTTACCATAATGTATGATTGTTTGAGTGTCCGTAATTGCGACCAAAGGTATACACGTATTTTCACCCGATCACTGTGTATGGCCCATAGATAGAGCGGTACTGTTGTCTAGGGCCGCAAAACAGCATTGTTATCAGTAGTGTCGTTTTTCAAAAGCGATTCTGGCAGCCAGAAACTCGTGTCGTTTTTCAAAAACGATCCTAGCGCTCAGAACGGGAGTGGATGGAGGGAAAGACGGCCGACGATTAGCGTCTGCCACGGCTCGATAACCTTTATTATGGAAGCTTAGTGTTACCGTTGCTCCTTTCCGTGCACTGAAACTGAGACGACAGCCGATCAGTGTCTATGGCGCACATGCAGGTAGCCTTCATCTGCGATAAGTGTCTTCCGCGACCAGGTTCGTTGCCTTTACCGTTAAAGTCGGGCGGAGCTTTATCCGTGAATGCGTCCTCATCTCGCCGTTCGCGGGTCGGTGTCTCCGACCCATACGTAGCCTTCCCTGCAGAAGCCGGCCTCGGCACTACGGCCTCTCCTCCGTGCGGGGAGGCCACTACGACCGCAGATGGGTATTTGCGGCGCACAGGTTGCCTTCGCCACGGCAGCCGAACTGTGTATTACGGTCTCTCTCCGTCGTGCGCTGCGACATAGATGACCGCTGATTGTTGTCTGCGATCAAATATACTAGGTTTGGGGGTGGGGAGGTGGAGGGGTGGGGGTGCAGGGCCGTTTTTTTTTTTTTTTTTTCGCTNTTCGATAATCAAATAATTTCCATCTTTTCCGAACAACGTTCTCATTATTTTAAATTCAAAGTTATTGTTGAAAAGGATTGCCGTACCTCTTGAATTTGATTTGCCAGGGCTCAGAAGGGTTTTATATCCCCACAAGGAATGTACTTTTGATTTGTCCCTATCTGTAAAGTGGGTATCTTGGATACAATATATTGAGTATTTCTGTTGTTTCAAATAGTTCAGGACGTCTCTTCTCTTTTGAGTACCTCCAAGACCCCTACAATTCAAACTAACGATATGCAAACTCATAGATTAAATAACAATTTTGTGAATTATAATACTTTCAAGTAATCCAGTACGCAGATGACATCCATAGATTGTGTATATCTATGGAATATATGGCTCATTATATCGGTGTAAAATATTTTGTAGAGTAAGCAAGTCCACATCACAGTTATACATGCAGATATCATGATAATATATTCATTCATATCTGGTGTAGTGCTCCAATTATGCATCACTTCACAAACATACAACCCCATACATACATTAACCCACATGTCATTTGACCCTAAACATTGCTTGATCAGGATGCTCTCACCTATGAGGTTTGCATACATCACACATTCATACACATGACACACACTCACATAGACAAAAATTTTGTTCGTAAAACAAAAAACAAAGTAAGATAACATAAATACAATCATCCCACACATTTCGAGTATCAGTACTTGCAGCATGTTCTGAAAATTGAGGTACCTAATGATCCCACAGAATATCAAATTGTAACATTGATAATATTTTGCATAATGTTATGGATGAGCACCAATTCAAAAAATATTTTTACAACATTAATATTTGAATGTTAGGGATCAGCACTCACCTTATCTTTATTGGTCTATGTAAAGGATATTCTGTACATACCAGTGAAAGCATTATGTGGGTTATTCTCCTTCCCAAAAACAAGGTTTATTGGAAGATAAGAAGAACCTTATGATTATTTCTCTATTAATCGTAAAGCATGAGAAGTAGTAACAATTGGGATCTACATGTGTACCTAGAAAATATGGAAGAAGAAAGTTTATAAACATAAAGTGATAAAGATAACCAAGCAATTACATTGCATTATATCTAGGCACTCTAGGCTTTACATGTTAGAAAACAAAACATTAGTCATTTTTTCTCCTAATTGGACCTTTTCTTTTGTTTCAGTTTCTCCTCCAAATTATCACATATGTCTACCTTTATTCTGTTTCCATTTTTTAACTGGCAGTATACATTGCAGTTAAAGAACCATGCACTTTCAACGTGCTCATGTTGTTTTAGTTTGTTCAAGAGAGTTAAGTTTTTTAATGTTATGTCATCATACAGACGTGCACCAGATTTCAGTTCTCTCTTTTTCCGCATGATTGTTCTCTTGATATCTGTGTTTCTAAGTTTTATGATCACTGGTCTTGGGGATCCTTGTTTACCGGGTATGCGATGTATTGCCTGGATATCAGTAGGCTCAATATTCAGTTTGGCTTCTTTTTGCAGCATATCAATAAAGATTTCTCTCAGGTTTTCCTCCTTTTTTTCTATTATGTTCAAGGCCCTTATATTAGTTTTCCTTGAGTACTGTTCATTATGATTGCAAGAGCGCATGGTTTCTTTACTGTAGTAATCATTTTGTTTTAGCAGTTCATTCATTTTTTTCATTTCTTGGTCTTTCTTTCTCATGACTTCTTTCAACTGCTCATTTTCCATCTGAAGACTATCCACCTGATCTTGCAGTTTTGCAGCACGGGTCTCAGATTCCATTTTTAGACAGTCGAATTTCTGCATAAATTTTGCATCCATTTCTGATACCATGTTATTAAGAAGTCTTTCAACCACCCTTGTTACTGTAATTTCCAAATCCTCTTTTCTAATAGTTTCTTTAATCTCATTTTTTATTTCAGACAGCTCATGCATGAGCATTTGTAATTCTTCTGCACTGGAGTTTGCCACCTCCGAATGAGGTCTTTTAGGTGCTGAAGTTATTGTTTGTGTTTTGCTCTTTGTATTGTTGCTTGTGAGAAACCTGGACATGGTCCTGTCATCAGCCTTGGTAGGTTTCTGGGCCATGATAGCTTTGTAATCAGTAGGAGCTAGTGAGATGTCACAATAGTGCACAGTGTATAGAAAGGCCCATTACCTATATGACTGTTACAGCTTCAGGGGGCCAATTATGTCTTTGACAATGACTATTGCTGAGTAGCACTCTTTTATATAGCTACACTAGAGAACTGCTCAACCACCTATTTTCATGCATATACTTGCGTAAGTCCAAGCCTCCAGATTTAAAGTTCTTAGAAAATGTCACTTGCCTTTCATGATCTATACCAGTGATGCCTACCACTACTTTCCAGAAACATTCATGAACATGTCTGCAAGACCTTAAATCTCAGGCATCTACATTTCTCACAATATTAGACACCAATGTGAGAGACTCTTTTCTTTTGCATGTCAGGTGTTACCTCGCAAGGATTTTATTTCAAAATTCTATTTTCTTATTTCCAGACAGCATTAGCTGAGAGCATTCGTGTTCACTCATTAGTTGGAGGAACCAAGACGGGGTTTAAGTTTTTTCTTTTCATACTTTGCTTCGAGTAAGTCGGTGTATATTGAAACTAATAGATTGAAGTATGCAGTGTCTGACTTAAGAATGCCTTAAGTGGGGACAGGATGGGGTCTTTATAATCACATCATCCTGAACTAAATATGCAAACTTTGACTCCTTTTTATCTCAGATATTTAATTTTATAATTTTTTATCAATACAAAATTAAGCTATTTCAGGTAGCATTCAGACAGACACATTGTACCAGTTGGGTCAGTCCATCTCCCAATAGGGGCTCTGGCTAAGTGCAATCGGCTAAACTGAATGGAACGCCTCCTCAAGCTAGGGGTAATTAACTTTTGCATGCCCTTGGCTTAATTATCCACAAGCTGCTCAAGGAGGCATGTCAGACAACTTAGCTGATTCCACTGATTGCACTTAGTAAGAAGTGGACCAACCAAACTAGTTCAGTCTGCATACTAGTGGCATTTATGTGTGTAGCTCTGTGTTTTAAATGAAGTCATGCTACGGAGACTACAGAGTCAGAAAATAATGATACTGAGATTGAAAAAAATTTTCTTTCAGGTTCCTGTCGCAAAGCATCAATATTTACTTTAACTCATGTAGGTTTTACCATTATACTTTAAGTGCAGGTGGGTTATTGCTGAAGACAAATTTTCCATCACACGTAACAGTGCATGCTTGCACACATATTCACACACTGCAGATGTTGAGATAAATACTATACACCAAATGCATGCATGCACACATACGAATATATACCCAAATACGTACAGTCATACATTCATGCATGTGCATTACACCAATGCATTACAAAGGCATGCTTGTACCTTCATAGGCTCCATTCAGAATAGGGGACTAACTAGTCCAAAGGTCAAATATGGCCGACCCACTTGAATACTTCCCCACGTGATATCTATTCAGTGTCTATTAGCAGATTAGACGGCAAGCTTTGTAGTACCAGTGGGGCGCCATATTTGACCCTCGGACTAGATAGTCCCCTATTCTGAATGGGGCCACAGGTATCATTGTCGACACCATTAAGCTGTATAATGTGATATATACAGTAGTCTATACCTGCTACAATATACTTAAATGTCATAGGTGACTTAATGTAATAGAGCCGATTTTAATAATGCAGTATGGAAATCTCCAGTGAACCCCGATTTGAACCAGCAGGTTTTAGGAAACTGATGGTCCAAATGGCCAGTAAGCTGAAAACTTTTAAACTGATGACCTGTCTCAATTTTAAATATTAAGTAATGAAGAGAAATTGATCCTCTTGGATGTATGTTATTGATTTGATCTTTTCAGTTGGGACAAATTATCAATCTTTCAGATGGTACATAATGTTGGAGTTATTAAAAATATATATGTAGCATTAACTGTGTTTTTACTGTATAAAATAGAACTATTAGATAGCCTCCTTTTAAATTTTTTGTTGCTACCACTCCATAGGAATGTTCCAATTTTAAGAATTTGTGACTTAATAAATACAGTGTCTGTAAAATTCACAGTTTTCCCCTTTGAGAAGACCAAGTAATTGTAGATTCTACCAAGATTTCATCTTTCTTAGATGAAAGCTTGAATATAAGTGAAAACTACTTTAAGACTTATCTTTAAGGTATGACAGGCGGACTGGCTATGTTCTACAAAGGCCCTGTTGCCATGGCGTACGGGGCTGTACAAGGGGCGGTGTTGGGGTAAGATGTCAGCCATGATAGCTTGAATTGTACATCATTTTATTAATAATTTATCCTTCTAGTAAAGCTTCCAAGTTTCTTTTACCTTAGTATAATTATAATATTGCGGTTTGGATCTAAACCATCAAGATAGCTATAGAAAATGTAACGTTTATGTCTTTTTCTGTTCTAGCACCTTGTATGGCCTTATTAACTTCAGAGACATTGATTTAATAAATATGCACAGAGATGAGGTCCGTGCACTTTTGCAGTCTCGAAAGTAAGTGTTGTCAGAAAGAAAGACAAGAATGTATATATATATATATTTCATAATTAAAAGTGATATTATTGTTACTACTATATTATTGTCCAGTGTCCATATATATATATAGTGTTTATAGTAGCCATTTGGCTTAAAACAATTATGAAATGAATTAGAAATGTTGTTGAATGGAGTACCTGTATTACAGTTATATTTTAAATGTATTCTAACTCAAAGATGAGTGTTTGACCATTTGGAAAAATGTCCATGTTAAAAATGCAGTCTATTGTCAATATGTGCCTTTAAAAGTGTGATACTTTAAATATTCAGGAAATCATAATTTTTTTTTTTACTGATTTTGGTTTTGTTTTTTTTTTTTTTTTAGACAAGCAGAAGCCAAAGCCGCTGGTCTTTGATGACCACAGGAGACTGTGTGCTAGCGTCTTCAACAACAAAACATCTTTTTATTTTCTTCTTAAGAGGCCATCAAAAGAAGAATTCGACAGTTCTCTTTTCCTTACCTTAGTTGATAAGTCTTAAAAGTTGGGAATATATTCATTGTATCTTTCAGTGACAGAAAAAGGCAGCAATGTTTTTCATTGTTATTATTTTTTGTGCAGAAACTTCAAATGGACAATACTTCAAAAAAAGGAGAAATGCCCAGGATTAGTGTGAAGACTTAATTGAAAAAGAACTGCGTTAAAATATAAAGTGGGAGCAGCTGACTGCAAGTTATATACATACAGCACATTGACATTACAGTACATGGGCATTTTAATTCATTTTAAACTCAAGTGTTATTTGAAGTGATGAACATTTTCAGAGGTTTTACTGTTTTATTCCCTCACATATAACTTAATAGTATTGACATTTGCTGATATGGATATACTGTGACACTCTTGTTTCTTTACATTTACGTTTCTTTATATGAAACCTAATACAAGGATGGAAAATGGTGAAAACACGATTGTTCTTAACGAGCTCTGAATAGATAGTGATTGATTTATAGATATACCCCCGAAATAATTTTAACTGTTAGCATGGCAAAGAAAAGACATAAAAAATTATAGCACACTTAGCATTTGTCTTTGTATGAACGAAACATAATGCTTAATTTATTCTGAGTTGAATATTAAATAAAGTACAACACTGTGACTGAAAGATGTTATTAGTGTTATTTCTAATTTAGCAAGTCTTTGAACCACTACTAAAATGCATTAACTTTTATTAAGTCCGACTTACTTGAAAAATTGACACTGCTTTTTGCATCAATTCTTATAATCAATAACAATAAATTGAAGTGAAATTATTAATGTCAACAAGTGCAAAAAAGTGCAGTTGTAACTGTTAACTTGAGTGTATTTTTGCAGATTTATGATTGATAGCATGCTAACTTTTACACCAAAATGAAAACTTTCCTCTTACCGGGTTATCTATTTTCTTAAAGCAAAATTTATGAGAAAATCGTTTTTCATCATTATTTCATGCAGCTTAAAAGCAGAACCCATAACAATTTAGAAAGGCACAGTTTTTTGGGGAAAAGTACATAAAATTCAAACATGCAATGTTCTTAACAAAAAACATATAATTCATTCCCATACAAACCATGCTTATATTGGCATAAACTACGGCATTACAAAAATATTGTATACTTCCTTGGCAGGTTGAGAGAGAATATCACACTTTTCAAAAATATTTTCTTGCATAATCATTTTAACAGAGATGTAACTATTTTATGTCATCCATTTTATGTTACACGTGATCTGCAGTGGCTCTGGCCCCAGACTGGGTCAAATTTACGCATAATGATTTTTTTTTTTTGTTATTTTACACATTTCTCCCACATATCCCTCACATGATAATTAATGAAATTCATTCCGGAAAATTCTACTGCCACCTTGGCTTCTTATTTCTAAAATGGTATTATCTCATAATTAAGGGACGCCTTGGCTCAGTTACACACATTCAACAAATCCAAGTTTCCGCCTGTTTTAAACCCCTCTCTTGGGTTCTTCCAGTGTTTTGGTATGCATCTCTATCTGGATTGCTCCATCTTTTCAAAAACTTTTCCTGGTCAGTACTGCTCTGTTCAAAATTTGCTTCAAATTCTTGATTCTGTGTCTTCTATCAAATTCAAGGTAATAACAAGCCTTGAATGTAATTTTAATCCATAAAAGTCAACAGAGTTCATTTATTAGGCCTCTATTCTCCATTTTCTGCCCTAGGCTTCGTCATTCGTTTTGGGCCTCTGCCAGCAGGACCCTTTGGTTTAGCAAAGGCCTGCTTTGCTATGTTCTTCTTTGGATGGAGTTCATCATAAAGGTAGGCTTCTGATAGTTCCTCGCCACTGTCAATCTCAAGCTGGAGTAAAGAGAAATATAAGAAACACTCATCTTGAAACGAAAATATTTATAGCATTTTTCCATTGTCTAGTAATTAAAATACAGGTATCTTTCTGATATTTCTTCACTGCATCAATCTAAACAAAGCATAACATATACAAACCTTCCTATCAACTTGTAGTCCTAGCTGCTCCACCATTTCTATTACTGGAGATTTACAACTAGAGTACAACATCCTTTCTTTCACTGAACACTTGTAACCAGGCATAGAATAGATAAATACTGGAAATGGAAAACATAACTCACTGAATGCTTAATTTACACTATGCTAATTGACGTCTGACACATGACAACGTGTCAATTATTGAGCATTTTTGCTATATCTTGAAATGAAAGTCAGTACCCATATCTTACATGTAAAAATCCATGTAGATTAATAACGTACATCCAAATGCATATTAATTAGACATAAAATCTAAATATTATCTATCAGAGGAGCAGATTACAAGGTTAGCAAGTTCTGGTAAACACAGACAAAATATACTGCAGAATCTATTTCCTATCAATCCAAAAAATCGCTGAGCAAATAAATAAATAAATAATTTAATTTCTACTTACTTATACTTTGTAGGTAGTCTCCTTCATGTGTGTGTTTAAATTTAAACAGGTGATATCTGGCATGGTCAGCAGGTACTCTGGAAGGTAGGGCACTGACTGCGAGATCCTCAGCAGCTTCAAGACAAATCTTCTCATTTTCAAGGTCTACACTCTGAATTTAGAGAAAATTAAGTTAAAAAATTAAGTTAAAAAATTAAATTAATAAAGACCTTACTATAAAGAAATCTCTTTGTCCTGTTATAAAATAGCTCTTCTGTGAAAATTTCATTTTTACTTCCATTCAGATTGACTGCAATATTTTTTCTTTTTCAGTGGTCAAATACAAACACCCCATTTCCAAAGATTAGATCGACCTACTTTAGCAATAGGACCTACAAATGTATTTCTTCATTCTTTATATTTCTATTAACTGCACACTTCAAAAATTTGGAATAAGAGAGAACCGACAAACACGTCCAAACAAACAAGGCATATCTATGCATCAGAATATTATCCAGATCGATCTAAAATCTATGGGAATAGAGCCAAAGAGACCATTGCATATTCTTCTATCTACCTATCAACTTTTTTTTTTTTTTTTTACAAAATTGATGACATTCTTATATCTGTTCTGTTATCTGCCTATCAACTTTAATTTTTTTTTCACAAAAATGATGACCTTCTGATTTACATCTTTTCAGTGTTGGAATAAAAATGGAAAATCAGTCTAATTCTTACCAACTGGACATAAGTTATTTCTCCTTGCCCTAGTTCCATTATCTTATGAAGTGCATCGTCCTCTATAGGAAAAGCCACCCCTGACAGCGTTTGATGCTTTGTGTCCACTCCAATGTCTGCTTTCACCTGAAATTTAAAAAAATGACATTAGTGAATGTTTAAATGTCTTTCACTATATATATATCATTATTTTTATTTTTCTATCATGAGCCTTTTTGGTATGAAACCATAAACTGCGATTCTGCTAATAATTATACAACCATGCAAAAAAATGTTACAAATTTCAAAGTATGAGGGTGAAAGTATGTCTGAAGGTTACACGTAAAGAGTTTTGATCAGGGACTCTAAAATTGATATCAAATGTACCTTAATAATCTTAAACAAATTATGACAACTGAGAAAATGCCACACAAACGCACATAAAACTGGCCTAGAAGTGTGTGTGTGTGTGTGTGTGTGTGGGGGGGGGGTTAAAATAAATAATAAACAACTGAGACCAATCTTCCACAGAAAGACAAACACAGCTTTAGCAAGCATCAGTATCAGCATGGTCAAAGTTTATGTAAGAAAATAGCTTCAGTGAATTATAAATGAGTGAACAAATGAAAAAAATGAAAAATAAAGCTGCACAATTCTCAAAATTTTCGTTAATGACCCAGGTGCAATAGGACCTACAAATGTATTTCTTCATTCTTTATATTTCTATTAACTGCACACTTCAAAAATTTGGAATAAGAGAGAACCGACAAACACGTCCAAACAAACAAGGCATATCTATGCATCAGAATATTATCCAGATATCAATATTCTTTCTGAAATACTCAAATCTATTAATTGTGACAAGTGGCATTCCAATAAACTTATTTGCTATTTAAATGTTTTGAGGGACGTTCAATACATATATCAATTGTTCTTCAGGACAGAAGACCCAAAAACCGATCAACATCATCATCATCAATTGTTATGATAACTGTATGATATTCAAAATAAAAGGTGTTTCAAAAGTGATAAGCTACTGTGCAAAACAAAGCCTTGCAATGTCCATGCTGTTTAACCCCTATCTACAAGTTAAACAAAACATCATGTTAAAAAGCAGGATGAGGTTATCAAAAACCACAACAGGCCAAAGTAAATTCTGATTCTCCATTCCTTTCCTCTAAATAATGCCATATTTCAAGTCAAGCCTTTCTTACCGATAACTAGAAAAAACAAAAGTAAAATATACTCCAGTTACTGAATGTATTCAGAGAAATTCTACTTTTCCATGATATAAATTCAAAATATTCTTCTGACAACCTGATTCTTTTGTTTTTAACATTTTAAACTTCTGAGCTCAACCAAGAAGAAAACAAAAATGAAATCTTCTCAATACAAACTTAGCCCACACACTTTTTCCAACATTGCAATTACTAAGCCATTCTCATATTAAGACTCATCCTGACATTTTGTCCATGTTGTTAATCTGACATGTACACCCCTACACACCTCACTAGCATGTTGTCTACAACCATACCTGCAGTAAGTACAACTCACTCTTTTACTGACTGGAAATTTTGCTTTGCAAGAATAGAACAAATAAAAAACCTGCTGCCATACATACTAACTTTTCAATCACCCCTAATGTGTATAATATTCATCTTACTAATAAACTACAGTAGCTCATCACCAACAAATAAAACATCATATAATCATGGAAAAATTTTGACAGGAATTTGTAAGCGAGACTGTTTTCTTACCTCGGTACTTTTGATCATGGCCAATTCCTCCTCCTCAAAGGTAAGAGGTGCAGGGGCGTCATGGGCCTCCACGTGCTTCCTAAAACCTGACAGTGACAGGTCCTCCTAAAAACGATTATGGTGACAACTACTGATATTATACCATGATAGAAAACAAGTCTGTGCAGATGACAACAATATTAGACTGAAAATGAATTTTAATCTTTTATATGTGTTAGACTATTACATTATATTAACTATGTAAGAAAAGACTCGACATTTTGACAGTTTTTTTAAATACAAAATAGTATTAACATAATGGACAAAACAGATTAGGAAAGGTACAATTAATTCTATTTTCAGTGCAGTCATTTTCTACACTTATAATGAAGTTGAGCTAATTCATTCCTCATTTGCATATATATAAATTACAACTTCTACTTTAAAATATTGACCGCGACTAAAAATTGCTTCACCTTTACTGTTCCAAATATTTCCCATTTGACCTGTCCACCGCCAAACTCTCTCTTTAATGTGGCTCGGGTAGCAGCAAACAACATCTTATGTTTAACCTGAAGTAGAAGCATAAGATGTTTAAGGGTAAGACAGACATTACACATCATTTTATAATTCAAAAATGGGCTCTTTTAAGAATTTAAAGTAATTTAAAAATTACTGATACTTTTATGTTTTACTCTTTGTAGACAATATCAAAGAATTCAACCCTAAAAGATCGACCATTTACATATTAAAATGATAAAAAAGTCACTTTGCTAATACATACATATATATATATATATATATATATATATATATATATATATATATATATATATATATGCTGGGCTGACTGGTAGCAAAATAAAATCACATTCTTAAGATGAATAGATGAATAAAAAATTTTCAGTGAAAAAAATTAACCTTTAGACAATAAAGTATTTAAAAATTAAAATGCAAGAAATATATATATATATATATAATAACATTACTGTATATTTGCATAAATAACACAGGAACATAAATAATAAATATTATTATTATTATAAATAATACATACACTGGCGAAGTCAGGTGACCAACTGAGGTATATCCACTCATACTGATCAGAGTTATCTGTACTGTCCATACGGTAGAAGATATAACAAGGTTGTTTCTCATCTAGATGTGGGAGGACTTGGGCATCATAATGTGGAAATGGTCAAGGAGGTTTTATGTCCACAATTTTGAGCTAGTTTTTTCATATCATATTCATATTTAATTGCTGTAAATTTCTTAAATGGGTTTGACATTAGATACCTTTGCAAAGTTATTGCAAAATGATAATAATTAATAAACATGACATTCTCTATGTCAATTGTCCAAAGATAGAGATAGAGTTTGATTTCATTTTCAATCAACTTCACTGGTTTTATTCACCGGCATATTATAAACTTTATATTTCTTTTTATCCCATATAATCAATTTTAAACCTTATAAAAAATCAAAATATTCAAAGTCTTACAACTAAAACTTGCTTTATTTTGAAAGAAAAAAATTGCTTCTATGCCTTCAAGTAATAAATTATTTAGATAATTTTTAGAAAGGATATCTTCTTCCCATGAACTCCTTGGTTCACTTTTGTCCAGCAAAACAAGTTCCTCTGCAACAGAAAAGCAAAAATTAAAACAAAAAAGAGTTTATAACATAATTGGTGATATTACATATTAATCATAATTACAAACATATTTACCTCTTGTAACAGATTACATACTACAAAAATTCTACATCTTCTTGTGATAGTATATACACAGGGGCAGATCCAGAGATATATTCTGACAGACTTCCAAATTTTCTTTGTTGATCCATCCTCCATTTTTGACCGTCTTCCGACAAAAAAAAATTAGATACCCGTCAATGTAAACTTGAAAATCTGACCGTCTTCTGGAAGACCTAGAAGACGGCCTCAATCGGCCCCTGATACATTTATAAAAGTCTGGTCAGTGGTGTTCAAACTCATTTATTTTTATCCCCATAAGTCTTATAGTAACTAAGCACACTTAAATTCTACTGAGTAATGAGTATACCATTGTCAATGCCTATCTTCATCAAACGAATGCTTCCATCTTTAGATGTTGCAAAGAAGTTCCTCAAGTCTTCAGATGCTGTGAAAATAATAGGCAAAAATAATAGTTAATACAATGAACAGAATTTTACATGATAAATATAAAAATAACACATAGATTAAACCTAAAAATCCAAATGCTATTGACAACTTTTTGTTTGCCTCTTAAAGGATGCATATTATGTGGGATTTTGCCTAAAAAGTACAGATAATAAATTTACCATAGAGCAGTTATAAAATAAGCTTCTTCTGACAGCCACCAAACAGGTGCTCTATTGACCCCAGCAACCTGACCTCAGGGGTCTTCACAACATACGGTTATCACTGATAATATTTTATTTACCATTTTTAGAAACTCACAACAGTGTACATGTATGTTCTGAGACAAAAATCAACAAACTTTTCAATTTTTTGGATCAACATTTTCAAGTCATGCTATTACTCATTAAACACTTTTAGGGGCATTTTTTTAAAAATAATTTACGATATTCGAATCTATTATTCGAGTAAATACCAGATATCATAAAGCCACAAGGGAGTTTAATAACAAGCATACATATATACAGGTTTGATGAAGAAGATTACATACTGCTTTGGGGAAGAGTATCAGTAAAGACATCTTAAGTTCAGGGAAAGGGCAAACTGAATACTGGCCTTGGAGAACAGACTACTTAGTAATTACCTTGGGCTCAATACACAAAGTACAATTTAGTCTGAAAGATGGTCTTAATTTTAAGACCAAGATTGTGATAAATTTTAATTTAAGTTGATAGTTCAGAAGTCTGCTAAAATAGGGTATATGTAACTCTCAGTCTAAAACATGAAGCGTTTATATTTCTTGTTATAGAAATGGGTGCAAAATTTTATCTTATTATCTATAGTAGTGGGGCCATAGCAGAAGGTTGGTTTGCACAAGCAATTGCCACGACAATAATCTCAGATTCAAAATGTATTTAATATAAGAATAAGGTCAGATGAATCAGATGAAATAATCATGCTGCCTACTGTACTTGACTTAGTCATAATTTCTCCATATAAGGAAAATGCTTTAACTGAACTGATAATAAATAAAATTCTGAGAGTAGACCCCTAATTTTAAGCCAAAAATTAAGGAAATTAACTTAAAGGGATAATAACTCTTCGTATGAAATCTGTATTTCACAATAAAAACATTGTGAGTGACTCATAAAAATATAATATGTTCTGTTTTCCCACAAAAACGGCTGTTATAGCTATTATTCTGATATCTGAGCTTGTCTTTAGACCACGTGACCTCCATTGATGGCTATACTCTGTTAAAATCTCTTAAGAGATTTTAACAAAAAACCAAACTTTTTAGAAAAAAACCAGGGACTAACTTTGAATGTAAAAATGGATTCATTAACCATTGGTAAGTATGGGAAAATTGTTGTTTACTCCAGGAAAATTCATTTTTTGGCCGAAACGAAGAGTTATTATCACTTTAAGCAGCACTAACAAAAGTCTCCATACATACTTATTGTTGTATTTTCCCATAGACTAAGAAAAGGCAGCTGAAATACCACTAGTAAATGATTGATATACTGTACCCGCTAATACTGTGACTGACATCTGAAACTACATGTACTGTACAGTACATGTAGCCTGTGTAAAAAGCCGGCCGGTAGTATGTTAAACCAAAATCTATTTTTGTCAATTTAAGAATAAAGATATTTTAGAAAGTTAAATATACGTCTTACCTGTAATTCCCGTTTGATGAGACATGCTTTAACTTAAAACTTTTAACAACAATTCAAAGAAATCACAGGTTCAAGACTCGAAATCCAGGAAGAGGAAACACCTCCGGGTCACGTGATAAGGGTACCGACCTTTAAATGCAACAAGTTATTTAATTGGTTAAAACACTCTTCATCCAATCACAACTGTCAATACATGTTCGTGTGGCAGACGAATCAAACATGGAGGACGAGGTAGCATGGTGTCCAAATACGTACCTGCGTTTTCTGCATTTTTAGGAACACGTCTCTTTTTAATTTTTTTATTGATTAGTTAAACTAAAAGAAAATGGCAGAACAAAGTAGAATCGCCCATAATTTGGGCGGAAAAAGTCGAACTGCCGATGTTAACATCACTGAAAACATAGATTTTGCCGGGTTGTATTTGTCAGATTCTGTTCTGAGTGGTCTAAAAGATTCTGGATTTGTTAGACCTTCCCCAATACAGTTAAAGGCTATACCTATAGGAAGGTGTGGTCTGGGTAAGAGACATTATAGTAGTACTTATTTGTTTTGTTGAAATCGATCGTGTTGCCAAAGAAAAGCAGCGTCAAATTCTTACTGTACTGTACGTAAATCCACAAATAAGATGTGCAGCGTGCATGTAATTTGTACAGTTTAATGTAATTTTATTTGAACTCTGACGGTGTACAGTATCTCTTCTTTAAGAATGTTAATAGAAATTGTGTCTTGTAATTGAAGACTTTCATGTGCAAGAAGGTTTATTTGTACAGATAGCTTGTTTACTTTCTGTACGTGCTTTATGGACTGGTGTGAAATTAATGTACATGTAAGCACCATACAGTACTGTAGATTACTGCCAGAGGTTTGAAAAAAAAATCGCAGGTTTAAAGATTTTCTGCTGCCCAAGAGATGTTTTTCTTACATGTTTGTTTTATTTGTGCTGTGTAGAATACTAGCTAGTTCTTTAAACTCTAGCATGCACTAACATTTTGACAGTGTTATTGATGTTGATTAAGCCATTTTATGACCTTTTCAGATTTGATAGTTCAAGCAAAGTCTGGCACTGGAAAGACCTGTGTTTTCAGCGTGATAGCACTTGAAAGCTTGGCACTGGAGAGCAACAGCACACAGGTAAATAATATCTGGGTCATTCTATAGTATTTTGGGAAAACAAAATATGTAATGTTAAAGACACCAGAGAAATTAAGAAAAGTCATTACTCTGTGCCAAGAACTGTTTAGCCTTCCAGACTTAGAGCATACCTCAATTGGCAATAAGGACCACTGGTATTTTTTTTTTTCAATATTTTTAATGTTTTTTTTTTACAAATTTTAAATATATTATAAACTATTGATTTATTAACCTTTTTTATTTATTTATTAACTTGTCCTTCTTAGGGCCTCCTACCTCCCTTGTAGTTAAAATCCTAGAAATGCTTCTGCTAACAGTCATCAATGTCGCCCTGACCAAAATAAAGAACCGTCTCCTTTCTTTCCAGGTGCTTGTCTTGGCACCAACTAGGGAGATAGCCTTACAGATCCAGGATGTGCTGACATCTATAGGCAGTGCCATGAAAGGATTGCTGTGTCATACATTTATAGGAGGAATACCACTGAATGAGGACAGACAGAAACTGAGGAAGTGTCATATTGCTGTGGGGTCCCCTGGTGAGATGAGAGAAAACAACACATTGTTTTCAAATTGAAGTACATGTTACAGGCTACCATACTTGTTATATTGTGACTTCTGCATATAGGCTGTGATATGCCTACTAGTACATGGATATTAACACAGTTAATGTTTAGTTCCTCACATCACACTGTTCTAAAAAAACAACAACAACAAAAAAATAGATTCACAGTTATATGATTAATGACGGAGGAAAATGCATTAGTTTTGTTGAGAAGTTTAAGAATATGTTAGGAAGCATATATTTATTTATATTGAACTTTTTCTTAATAAATATTAAACTATTTTTAGTGCAGTAAACATCACTGTGTTTTTTTAGGACGTGTCAAGCAGCTAATAGAGCAAAAGATTCTGAAGACTGACAGCATCAGGATGTTTATATTGGATGAGGCAGATAAGCTGCTAGAAGACAGCTTTCAGGAACAGATAAAGTATGTTTATTGTTCAGTTCTGGAAACATTTGTATGATTTTATTCCAAAAACTTTTAAATTGTAAAGTCAAAGTCTAGTAATATTTAAGAAGCAATTTAACATGTTGTAGGTATTTTAATTCATTTCAGCTGGATCTACTCAATGCTCCCAGAGAATAAACAGATGTTGGCTTTGTCTGCCACATATCCTGAGTATCTGGCTCAACATTTGACCAAATATATGAGGAATCCAACCTTTATGAGGCTGAATGCTAATGATCCAGCTTTATTAGGTAATGCAGCTGTTTATTTTTAATTTTACTGTTTTAAATTTCTGAACTTACACATTTTAGTTTCATTTTGAGGCAGTAGCTTCATATTTAACCAGACAAAAATTCAAGTCAAGAAGGACCTTTAGTTATTTATGTTCAAACAAGGTGCATTTCTTTCTTCTTTACAGGTATTAAACAGTATTTTCAAACTGTTCTCTATCATCCACTACCACAGAAGGTGTTTGAAGAGAAGATAAAGTGGCTCGTAAAACTTTTTTCATCTGTGGACTTTCATCAGTGTTTACTCTTCTCCAATCTGCAGACAAGGTATGAAATTGTGTGAACTGTATGAAATAACAGCTATTTTGAGCAGTAAAAAAGCTGAAAATTCCTGCATACATTTTAGTGTTTATTTAGTCATAGTTTATAAGAGATGAAAACTATTTTGATTTGATTGCAGAGCACAAACCTTGTGTGACATCCTTAATTCTAAAGGTTGGCCCTCCACCTGTATATCCGGCAGCCAGGACCAGCAGTCAAGAATGGAAGCCATGGATAAGTTGAAGAAGTTCCACTGCAGGGTGCTCATATCCACAGACTTGGTAAAGAGAATACATCTTTTTAGTTAGCAAAAAAAGGAAATTGTTTTAAAGAATATTAAGATGTGTTTTTATCAATAAGACATGTTTGAACCTTTTGTGAAAGGCCTTAGTCCCGTGGATTGTCCACATGTTTTTTCAAGGTCCTTTGATCAAAGTTGGGAATGTCATGCCTGTGGTATGATGGTGAAAATGTAGGCATTTGGTTTAAATTTACTTTACTACTGTACAGTGAGCCCAAATTTTTTTGCTTATTACTACAACTCTATTAGAATAATGATGGAAGTGAAATTGAGTGTCAGTTAAAAAAATGGATGAATTTACACATTCATATTTATTTAACAACTTTAAAGTAATATGTTTAGACTTGATGAAGATGGTTGTTATGCTTTTTAAATGTTGATTATGATATTCTGTTTGATCAAATCAAAATGTGTGTGCAGTTTATTTCGAGTCGTTGAATTTTTTTTAACAGACTTCTAGAGGTATAGATGCAGAGAGGGTCAATCTGGTCATCAATCTTGACCTGCCCAGAGATCATGAGACATACCTACACAGGATAGGCAGGGCAGGGAGATATGGTAATTCAGGCCTCTAGGTTGGGGGGGGGGGGGGGGGGGGGGGGTTGAACTTTGACCCCCCTCCCTTCATTTTCTGGACAAAATATGGTCCTTGTTTGTATGCCATTTCTTCATTTGGATTAAGGGGTGGGGGTGGGTAAAAAGGTCCACTGATAAAAAAAAAAAAAAGAATTCACCTTTGAAATTAAAAGCCTGAAGTTTTTGACCAGTGGGACAGCCAATCTGTAGGTTGAAGATTTAGTCTAACTTTTTTATTTTTCTCCACTAACTTTTTATGTATATGTTGACAAAATGCTGGGTATGTGGTAAATATTTCTCTCAATATTATAGCACACACGATTGAGAGTAAAAATGAATTGATTCCTTTTTGTGCAAAAAAAAAAAAATCACTTCTGAAATAGACTTAAATGAAAATTTTAATTACTGTTCCTTGCCTTAGGTATTTTAATATTCATTAGTTTAATATTAAAACATTCTCCTTTGATTATTAAAGGGATAATAACTCTTCGTATGAGATCTATATTTCATAATAAAATCATTGTGAACAACTCATAGAAATATAATGTAATCTGTTTTACCACAAAAACAGCAGTTATAGCTATTATTTTGATATCTGAGCTTGACTTTAGATCACGTGACCTCCATTGATGGCTATACTCTGTTATAATCTCTTAAGAGATTTTAACAAAAAACAAACTTTTTAGAAAAAAACCAAGGACTAACTTTGAATGTAAAAATGGATTCATTAACCATTGGTAAGTATGGGAAAATTGTTGTTTACTCCAGGAAAATTCATTTTTGCCCAAAACGAAGAGTTATTATCCCTTTCAATGAAATTAGATGAATAATTAAGTTAGTGGAACAATTACAAATATGGTGGTTTCAGGCTCCTATGGTGTGGCGGTTACCTTTGTATGTGAGGGTGGAGAAGAGCAACAGATGAGAGCAATTGAAGCCAAGTGTGGCACACGCATTGAGGTGTTACCAGGTGGGAACTGATGAAGAAAATTTAATTTTTAATATTTTTTCACTATATTTCTAAATTTAAGCTTTTGGATGTGATTTGATGGGGAATTTTAACATTGTATCCTGCCCTAATGATTTATGTAGTCCCTGTCTATGACCTCAAGTACTGAGGCTGTTTTCTGAAATGCTGTTCAAACTTGAGGCAGGCAGCCTGATTTGCCTTTTCACACATTTTTATGTACAGACACAGATGTGTCTGTACATATAGCAGTCACCTGCGTCTGCCGTCGTCGCCGTCGTGCACTTCCACCGATAACACGATAAGTGAAAAACCGTTTTACCTTTTGGCTTGAAACTTACAGAACTGATGAATATTCATAATATGCAGGTCAAGTTCGAAAATCAGCATGATCGGGTCACTTTTAGGGAATTTATGCTGTTTTTTTCACTTTTTTCAGCATATATGCAGCACCGATAACACGATAAGTGAAAAACCGTTTTACCTTTTGGCTTGAAACTTACAGAACTGATGAATATTCATAATATGCAGGTCAAATTCGAAAATCAGCGTGATCGGGTCACTTTTAGGGAATTTATGCTGTTTTTTCACTTTTTTCAGCATATATGCAGCACCGATAACACGATAAGTGGAAAACCATTTTACCTTTTGGCTTGAAACTTACAGAACTGATGAATATCCATAATACGCAGGTCAAGTTCGAAAATTGGCTTGATTGGACTATTTTTACAAATTTAAAGTTATGCTTTTTTTTCCCATTATTCAGCATATATGTAACACTGATAACGCATTTTAAGGAAAACCAATCAGCCTTTTGTCTTGAAACTTAAAGGAGTGATCAGTCTGACTAATATACAGATCAAGTTTGAAAATAAGCCTGATCAGTTAAGTTTTGATGAAGTTATTAGCCTTTTGGTATATAAGTGGTTTTTCTTCAGATTTAATTCTTAGGCATGTTAACAGTCTCATTATGGAACAAATTAGATATGTAAAAGTGTTGTTTTGACATTTTATGCTTCTTAAAAATATTGTTAGTTGATTATATAAAAATGACAGTACACCATTTATTGTGCATTGTGTAATAAAGTATCAAAAATGGAAAGGAACTCATATCATTGCAGTTCGTCAGATTCAATCATTCACTAAGAATGGAGCAATTTGGACATTTAAATTTGTTCTATTGATATTTTTCCTTTGACAACATATTTTAATTGATCATATAAAAATGACAGTAAATCGATTATTTTTTTTATGTAAAAAAAGGTATTGAAAATGGAAATAAACTCTTTTCAATTCAGTTTCTCTTGTTTAGATTTTGGGATTTTCAAAGTGTGTCTGAACTCTATGGGCTAGACACATTTTGTGAATATCCATGATAGTTTTATTTTATCATTAAAAAACTGATGGTTATTATGCTGTTAAGCATTGTGTTATATTGCATCAAAAATGAACAAAACCCTATTTTGGGCACTGCCTCCGTTGTGACTGTGAAAGGAAAACCATGTCACTTGCTCTTTTTACACTTTAAGGAAAGAAACATAGGACTAAAATACAGCTTTAGTTGGAAAATCTGTCTCATTAGTTAATTTTCTGGAAGTTATAGAGGTTTTTTTGTGAAAATTTTTATCTTTCACATACTGGAATTTTCAATGTGGGAGTTGGATTGATCCTCGTAGATTGATCTAGGTATGGGAATTCAGTCTAATGCTTGTTACACATTTTACTTTCATCCTAATCCACTGTTTTAGCAGAATTAGAATTCAATGTTGGCTATGCAGTTACAGAAAGCATAATACATCAGTGCATCAGAATTGACAGTATCCTATTTTCTGCATTTTTATTTTCTGGTTTTTGTCTGTACATTTGACAGCTTTGCTGCCTTGTTTTTACTTCTGTACAAACTGCAGATTCTGATTTTGAAACATTTCCTTTTATTTAGGTACATTTGGCCCCATGTCAACCAATAATTAATACTGTAACAGACTGTCATGTTTCCTGTAAATTATATTTTAGATGTTATGTATTGCAATCATTTTGTTTCTTTATAGATCCTTTACCAACAGACCTTGCAAAGAATATTGACTATCTTCAAATGGGTGACTTGGTTTCTAGTGAACAGATAATTACGAGACCAGAGGAAGCAGGTGGTGAACCAACTGCTGGCCACCAGGTAGCTAAATATGTCAGGACCAAGATGGGCTACATGAACACCCAGAAGGACAATTGTTCTGATATGGGTGATGAGGCCACAGGTACTTGTCTGACTCCAGAAAATGAATGTGGCTTAAAGCAGACTAATTTCAGTGAAGAGGTGTCCTGTTTGTCTGCCAATTTTCTCAATGGTACCAAAGATGGTGGAAGATATAAGAAAAATAAGAAACAAAACAAAACAGGCCAAATAAAGCACAGTGGCAATGAAGATTATTGTTCCTCAAAAGAGGGCTCAGTTCCAGATTTTGATCTAGAAGATAAATGCCCCCTTCCACCCCATGATGCACCGTCACAGATGTCTACAATGGCTTCCAATAGCGTACCAACATGTGACACAGGGACTTCAAAGAGTCACTCAGAGAAAGACCAAATTGTTGCAAGCATCTTATCGAAATTACAGTTGAAGAAGACGACAAACAGTGTCAGATTAGCATACAACAATGTCCTTAAAAGTCACCAAGCTTTCAAACAACAGGATGGAAGGGACGTTCTGCACCAAGATTTAAAAGAGAGCGAGGAAGCAACAGAAGTGGCCAAGGCAGTTGATGATAAAGAAGAAACACCAGATGAGATAGAGACACAACAGTGGTCTTCCCTGGCAAATGAGATAGGATTCTTACTGCAGAAAATTCACTTAGATCAACACCACATGTTGTGCAGATATGATTCCAAAGATGTAACAAATAGGTCTAGTTCCAGCAGTTTGCAGAAGCATCCTGACCAAGTTTCAGGAGAGAAAGAATACAAAAGTGGAAAACATTTACCAGAAGAAATACCCAATTATGCTGGAAAAATCACACGCCCAAAAACTAGTTCAGAAAAGGCAGACAAGGCAGAAAAGACAGACAGCCATCAGAGTACAAGTGCAAATATATGTGGAAAAGCCCAGGGTAATACCACCCAGTTAGCAGTTAATATAAAAGAAAATTATGATACCCCCCAAATAAAATTAGGTGGAGTTTTGAATGGAAACATGCGGTCCGATGAGCTAAGCACACTTGATGTTGAAAATAATTATGGGCTAAAGTGGGCACTGGACTCCAGGAATTCCATTGCTGCACAGGATGGTGGAGATGATGGAGAAAGGGCTTCTTCCTCTGAGTTTGAATCCACAAGGTCTAATTCAATCTACTCTTACTCATCTGACGAGAGTAACAGTGAAGATGAAATAGAAGACACATGCTTTGATGGCGATGATGTGATTCAGCAACAGAGCACTAATCTTTGCCAATACAGCTGTTATGGAGGCTATAGTGCTGAAAATCAGTGGTATCCTGGTTCAGAACAATATTACGCTGATGCATATACAGAGGAATACTTTAGAGAAGACAGTGGCTCACACTATGATAATATACACAGGGGTAATTATGATACTGAAAACAAGGCAGATCAGTATTATGAAGGTGGTTATACAGTTTATGACAGTGACCACTATGGGCAATATAGCACTGCAGATTATTACTATAGACAGAGCCGTGACTACAAAACAAAATCTCATAATAATCATCACAAAAATGACCCCAAAGATGACATAGAATGGTCAGCATGGCAGCAATATGATAAGACGCGTGCAGAGGCTGCTGCTGCTGCTGGTCTTGCTCCCCCCAGCGCCATCTATTGGTTGCCTTGTATGGTACCTGTACCATGCTTTACATATACTAACACAGATATGCAGGCATGGATGAAAAGTTATCAAGACTATGTGGAACAATACTGTGGGCTGTATGCTAATTGTGGAAATAATGCCCAGTTCAGTAAGAAATGATATTATTTACAAATTAACAAGAAGATGTTTATGTGCACTGGACCGGTACTGATATCTGTCAGCTGTATTTCTGAAAGTTTTAGCTTTATCTTCATGGTTTGTCTTTGTTTATTTGGCCTGTCTTCTTTAATTTGCCATTATTTGTTTTCCTTGTTCATTTAATCTATTAATACGTAATTTCTTTAATATTTTTATTTACCTGTTTTTATTTAGTACAGTATGTTTAATTATCAATGTCAATGCTCCTTATAAATTTTTCAGTGTTAGATTTCTGTATTGCTGTTTGTTTTGTAGTCTTTATCAACAAAAACTGTACTTAATTGCATAATGTAAAATTACTGACTTTTCACAAAAAATGTTTAGATATATTTTATTTCCTTAAAAAGCTGATCAGATTGTGTGCTTAATTAGAAGTTGATGATAAACAAAAACAATTATTTTCACCAGAAATTTGTTAATTTGAGAAGGTAAAAATTAACAAAAAATCGTCTCTGTGTAAATATGGCAGTACTTTTTTTTGTTGGCTGTGCGGTAAATTCCGTTAATGATATCAAAAACGCTTAAAACAAGCAAAATACCACCTGCATTATACAGAAATAATTTAGAACATTGATATAAAAACTGTGCACTGATAAAGTTCATTATGCATAATAAATTGCGTGACCAGGTAAATGAAGAGGTCTCTGGTCTTTATTCTTCCCTATTGGCCTTTTCTGGCTGAATTATGGGAGCATTTCTCAGTATTATATATCAGGTGCAAGTATCCAGTAGTAATTACAGAAATTAACGAATGTCAGTATGTTGGACGGACGAACCGGGTCAGAGGTCAATTTGCTGGAGTTTCCGTCCTGGCATCACATCGCTTCAAACAAGGTATGAGTACCATGGAAAGAGCACTTGCCACCAGAAGCCCTCCCGAAACCAAGAACGAGTTGTCGTAATTTTGGGTCACATCAAAGATCCAGCCTGTAAATGAATAAAAACGAACAGGGCAATGAGTCTTAGTTTCTTTCACAGGAATTCTATACCCGATGTCTAAGTTATATTTTTGATTTTATTTTCAACGCGAGTTGCTTGCAAATTGAGAATTGAAGCTCTCCGGCCTTGTCATATTTGTTGCTGTCTCCAACCAAGGTTAATAATCGCCAGTTTTGTTGGCCACATTTTTACAAAAGGCCATGACTTAACAAGAATATATTAAAAAATATCAGACTCTAATC